CAAGTACACCCCCATTTGTTTACGCACGCTATTGGGTCAAACGAGGGATCATCCGAACAATCAAGACAGTATCCAAGTCGTACTGGACAGCTATTCGGGCCTTTCTGGCACGCAAATTAAATTGGGCTTGCTGTAAGAATTGTTGCTTTTAAATCTGAAGCACGGCTTCCGAACCGGCTGATGTGGGTTCCGAACTTGACAGATCAACTTCCAATCGGGTAACGAATTAACACACCAGTGCACTCAAATACAGCGAACAAACATCGCACAGAGACGGTTTCTATTAAACACGCGATTCATTCGTTCAGCTTTAATGACGACATCTTGTCTGGCAATGGACGTGTTTGCGAAATCGCATCTATCAGTTCCGCTAACTCTCGGGAAAGCCTGACATGATGTGCGTAGTAATTTCTTATTCACTACTATTCAACTATCCACGCTGATATCCCATACTGTGATATATCTGACGGTTGCTTCACCCGGCAAGCTCACTTGGTCCTACAAAGCGCTTTCCAAACATCCTAGTTTTCCGAACAAAGAAACTGTATCTACATTATCTCAGGCTGATCATGAAAGAGTACGGCGCATCGAATACCAGCACGAAAAGGACCATAAGTTGAACATATCACTCGGGCATGGCTCACTGGAAGCCGGTCCCGTGTCACTTCCTTGCGCTAGACATCAGATATCTTTTCAACCCCCGTACGAACACACAAACTTACGTATGTGTAAACATATTTCGAAAACACTGTGAATACTCACACGTCCCTACGCGCTGCCAGTGACGTGCTATACAACCAGATACGTAAAAAATAGGCCAGCAACGTGATCAAAACATGTCATTTTTTCTAGACAATTAGTAAAATGTACACGCATATGTCGAATAGCATTACGACATCCCACAACGCTGATATCCTTGGTGGCTGCTCCGGCAATGCGTTCAAGGAACTGCAGCCTCCATTCCATCTGCGTCATGAGTTTCTGGGGATCCCCGGCCAGAAGTTCCTCGTAGTGCACTCTCATCTCATTCTTCACTCTGGCCTTCACCACCTGCCAAACATTCTCGATCGGATTGAGGAACGGAGAGTATGGGCTCAATCTCAGTATGGTTACTCCTTCGTATCCATCTACTGACGACAGTTCTTCCAGTCGTGTGTGACATGGTGCATTATCACATACCACGACAACCTGCCGGAGCTCCATCTCCAGCTTCAGGTTGTCTAAATAGCTTCGCAGCCATTCGAGAGATAGGGGACTTGTGAATGAGCCTCTCCGGGTGGTCATCGACACTTTCCCTTCCATCGTGAGTGCACTGATTAAATTTAAATTGTGCCTCTACTGTTAGCAACTTTGCAACAGGCCCTCACTCCTCTGGGCGCCCGACCACGAGTACGTTTGCAGTAAACGTTGAAGTTCGCTTCGTCAATCCAAATGAAGAACTTGCCATCGCTCTCAAGTTGGAGAAACTGCTGAACGAATTCCCTGCGTATCCCTTTGTTTCGCTCATTGTTCATTCCCTCGGGAACCTGATAGATGTTCTTCATAGTTATCAATCGATCATCTAGGTGCCGTGCGATTGTTGACTTCGAAATGTCCTTGTCCATTTCTGCTCGTACTCGTACTCACATTTCCCGTAGCGTAAGAGTTGAGTCCCTTGCGATCCAATCCAGGATGTCATCTACGTCTTCCTCCGACAAAATCCGCTTACGACCGCGCGGCTGCGTAGTACTCGGCTCCTGTGCAAGAGAACGACGAATCCAGGGGTAGGCTTTTGGATATTTGACATTGTTCACCGTTGCCACAATCTGCCAGTCATCACCGTTGACGGAAGCGTCCAAAATTCGGTCACGAATGTCTGACGAGATACTCTGTCGAACGCGAGAACGCATGCCGACGACGTTAGAATCATAGACATGGTTTCGGTCGTGCGCTTATGTTCCAGCTGTTCATTGCTCTCAGACCAATTGTGATCCATCGTTTCGGACGTGAGGGGGGCGCATACAAGCCCGTTGCACCGTCGAAGTGCATTCCTCTAAGGTTCATTCACAAGTCTCACCCAGTCAACGGGCAGCGCGCTCACCTCCCCAGACTAACGCATCGAACCTTGGCATCTGGCCAATGAGAACTCACTTAAGGTCAGAGGATTGGCTCTGAGCGGCCGGTGAATCGCACAGGGTTTTGCAACATTTTGGACTTTCTTTGCGAAGGTTTGAACTGCCTTTGCCAAATTTTGGACCTTTTTTGCCCTATTGGTGATTGTCAGTGTTGCGCATCGACCGCACCCCTACTTGGGATTGAACCCATGACCGCTAGAGCCTAACGCCAACTAGCCAGCACCTCATGCCACTGAGCCATGAGGGACGACAGTCAACCGTTACGAACTGAAACCTAACTGCCATATAGCCCAACCCATCCTCCACTGCCGTGCAGGTTATTGCCCGTGCAGTGGATAATGGTTGGCCGTCACGGTCAGGTCTTCCCTGGCAAACGCGTGAATACACACCGCAATTTGATTACTGGTAGAGCTTAGATTTTTTTACTAATTAGTAGACGAATTTGGGTATGATTCGACTTGGTTCATCGCAATTAGATTCCAAGCCGCATATTTGTACTTGTTTATATTCTGCTACCATTCTGAGTTCATTGAGTTGCAGAGAGCAGGAGGGAAATCCCTTGTCAGCCCATTGATTCCGTATCATACAGGGTTGAATGCGTGTCGTTGCATTACTAGTCGGGTGTAATAGCATCACTGAGCCAGCGACTACAGCATATCGGAAAACCTTCCGTACCATTGATAGACGGTTCAACGTGGACAGCATCTGCCAGAGTGATCAGATCTACTAGTTAATTTCTTTGCGCTATGTCATCGATCGATTGGTCCACGGCGTAACGACAGCAGGTAATGTACTCCGAGCGAGTCACTCAGCGAATATACGGTGGATACAAATTGGGCAATGTAAGCGATCCATGTTCCGTAGACGATATTCCAGTGCGGAATGGGTGTTTCTTTTCAAGTACCAATTGGTAAACCTAATATTCGCTGACTCGATGCTGTCTCCAGATGTAAGTAATATACCGCAATCAAGAGTCATAATAGACGTCGTCTCTTAATGTCCTCAGCATGTAATGATTACGTCTCCGAGCTGTACAGTAAAACCGTTTTTGCGGTTAAGCACCGTTCCGTTTCATTGTTAGGCTGATATTCCACACAGGCAAATGAGCCTTTGCGAAATATAAGATGGAAACTAACTGCTTCGGTAATGTGATCACAATGGATGAACTGAGGTAGTACCGACGTGCTGTGTTTCCGCTAGCAAAAGGATAAGCAACGCGGTTCTTCGAATTCCTGTTTAGCCTCTTTCTAACCGGAAGACAGAAGCCTTGACAAAACCTTATATTAAGCTCGGAAAGATAGTGTTCTCAACAATGAAAATAGTTGCGATAATTTAGTTCAAAAGGAATGACTTAGATGAATGTTGTATGCTATGCAGAACGACTGGATGACGCTCTCGTTGGCTTGCTAAAAGCCAAAAGTGCTATCATGTGATCAACTCCAGCGAATCATTCTCTCCTTGGGTGGCTCCTAGACAATGAGGTTCAAGCTGGTCCGAGCTTTCGCTGAGGATAACAGCATGTAAGCAAAGTTGTGACGCTTCTGTGACCTGATTCACTTAACACAAAGGAACACGTTTACATGCTTCTAACAAGCCGATCGATGCTATGGTGATCCAATCAGTCAGGATATCTCAAGCTAGGCATAAGGCAGGTCACCATCAGTGACAAATGATGTGCCAACTCATCACGATGTGATGGAATTGCGGCTTACGAGTTCCAGTTGCAAGTAAGAAGAGCAAAAATCGGAGTGAGCGCGAAGCATGCGTGCGCTAGGGCATCAACAGAGTCCATGAACGTACTCCAAACTGACTGATAGTCCCTAACCGTTGTCCGTTATCTGTAACTGATCATAATATGATCAATTTGGGTCCAAGTTATCCAAGATTTCGGTGGGCACCAGGTGACACGATGTGAACACTTGTGCTGGGAAGCAGGGCTGTTAGTATAGAAACTGTAGTTCCAGGCAAGAAAATCGGAAGACGGGTTCAAAGGTAACAGGGAAATGTCTTATTGGCGGCGCAACTTGGCAATGACATCTGAATGCGACACGCAAACCAATTTTGTACAGCTGCTAAGTAAGACAGGTTCTCACAGCAGAGGTATCTTTCATTAAAGATTCTTCTCGATACATCCAGAAGCAAACAAGAGCAAATTCAGCGAGCTCAGATTACCGACCCCATCGATAATGCTTCATCCAATTCACAGTACCAACCCAACGGGATGACAGGCACGAACGCTGCAGGTAAACCTGCGACTGCTTTCCTAGGACTAGCACACACCGGTGGGGATATGCTAGGGTCGTGGTAATCCTAACGCTCACCGAAGTCGAATGATCGATTAACTAAAATTTAGCTACTTTTTGTACAGGTGATTAGAGGGATGATGGAAAGGACAAGGCAACCCGGATGTCACCCGTTCGCGCCTGCTTAGGGGACCGGGGGACCCACGCAGTATCTATAGTCCACGCGCGACTGATGATGATTGCGTGGCTGCGGCGCGTCTTTACAGTGTACCACCCTATAGTTCGTAGTTATAGCGATGGCCTGAACAGCCTTTGTTGTTAATGCAATTGCTTCCCGTATTCTCATTTGATTTACTACTGGCCGTGAGCATAACTTAAAAATAGCCTTCCCTCGTCTCCGATGACAAACTCCGTCTTCGATATTTCACTTCACTGTCAATGTCGTATAGTAAATAATCCTCCGTACATAATTCTATCCTTTGTTTTGTTGGCCGATTTTTCGATTTGGTGGCGATCTTTCCAGTAAACCGTACTTATTTCACTCCTTCCTTATCATCCTTCCCAGATAACTTTGAAATGTCGACTTTCCCGTGACCACGCAACCAGACGTATGGTTTGAACATCTTAAGACAACTGGTGTTTACAGATAAGGTCAAATAATCTTTACTTCAAAAAGGTAGATCATGAAAGCATTATCACAATGTACAATAGTTCATTATCCTTCTTGCTTGTAGGCCAAACCGTTTGCCTTAGTGGGTGAAACAGTGTGAAAAGGTGAGAGGCAAAATATTCCGATTAGGAAAGCCACACAATGCGGATGTTGAAAAGTAAAAAGGGGGATAAATATACAAGGCGCTGAGTTTGTCCATCTGCTCTTTTAAATAAGAGTGCATAGTTTTAATACATATGTAGCCTCTCACAAACCGGTTGGAGCGCCGGAAACCAAAAGGCGGGATGAAAGTAGTGTGGCAGCTTCTTCTACTCCCCTGAAGAGCGCTGCAATAGATTTAGTGGAATTTTAAACTTTAAACAGCATAGAAGCTAACAGTCAACCGGGTTAGGATTCCTGATATGGCATTGGGCAGCGGAAGAACGGGTTTTTGATGATTGCAAACTGTACGACCCAATGAAATCCCATCGCTTGACATCAGTTATGAGTATCGGGGGTGCTCCGAACTCCATGACAGTTTCGCTGGGTCGGCTCGACGCTGTTACGTGCCTTCGTGTGGTCTCTGCAACACTGTCGTCTCCTGTGGACTTAGCTGACGGATCCCCGGAGTCTGGTCGTTGTCCCGAAGGGTGCGTTCGGGCACCACGCCGTAGTCAGTGGAGTCGTAGGGCAGTAACCGGGCTGTTTCTTGTGTGTCTATCACACCAGCCGGATGATGTTCTATAGGAATTCCTTCAAAGTAGCTGAATCTGTTTTCTTCTGGTCGGATGTTGTCGTAGACGCTATACGATCGCAAAATAGAACTTGTCGGCGTCTACAATAGAGATTTGGTAGGTTTCGTTATGCACCCAGAAGCCATGTTGGTTGAAAATAGAACTTCTAGTTGATATTACTTTAATTATAATGAAGACTTTTGTTTAGCCCGCAGCCTTAATTCACACTGAAACAGTCCGTCACATCACTTAATTCTCAATGCAGTAATGTCAGGTTTCGCTAAACCAGGAAATGCCGGTTACTTTTAGTACCAAATGAAGCTTCGCTGCATATCACAGATTAATTTATCACACGAAGAAAATCTTCATATCCAGAATTGAGGTGAGTCACAATGCTGATTTTTAGCAAAGTAAATATTCCTATTTATCCAGGGATGCCCTTGTCAGCGTGTGCATGCTAATCTTGCAATCCGATGCTCTGTGTTAGATTGGACTTATCCCCTCACTTTCTTGTGCCATCTCTTCGGAATTAAGCTCAATCGATTCGGATCACTGAGCTCTAGTCAACGGGGTCTATATTTTTGAAGTAAGTCCAACGAGACGCTGGTACACCACAAGCAAAATCTTCGGAAGTCCATTCATTAAAGCCAACTTGATTAACTTTGCTTATTTAAGTTTAATCAGTACCTTTGGGATACCATTCGACAGAGCTATTTTAAGGCTTCAGACAATATATAACTTAGTACTGTGCACCACTGTATACCATAGGCACAGGCACTTTTCTCATCTCACGTTACCACGATATTTTTACGTGCATTTCGCTGCACAAAGCCTGTGTGAATTTGGCTACTCGTGCGCGTAGTGATGGACCAGCACCAAACCCGCTGCCCGGAGCAGACAACTGAGGCAGCCCAAACTGCGTGACCAGTGCAACCTAAAAGTGCATACCGACCATTGATCCATGGGCCGGAGTAGTTTGTTAACCGGGAATCCAGTGAACGACAAACCCAAGGTCAACCGTAGCTGAGATCCGCTCGAAAATCACGTGTTCGTTCTGTGCCAATTCCTACGACGCGACAAAGGTGAACATTACACTTAACGGCGCTAACAGCGTATCGACAAATAGGTTATGGTTCTGTGAGTTATGTCCAGCTAGTCCGATAATTACGATTGTTCAAACGCTTACAATAAGGTGTGAAGCCTTGGATATTACGTCGGCAGACTCAAAGGAACTGGTCGCGGTATTGGGAGGGAAAATCTCAGAACTCGAGTTGCAGATTAGTGCCTTATGTAGTCCAAATCCCCGACTTGTTAAAAGATAAAGCTCTCTAGCAACAGTGCTACCCAGTCCAGCGAAAGGCAAACATCTTTAGTGAAAAACAGCAACGAAAACAGACCGGTTGAACGGTCTCACTAGTCTCAAGTAATGCTCCAAAGCAGGCAGAGTTACGCACAAATTGCACGATCACCTCCGTCAGTAGCTGGGCAACAACAATTGACCCCTACAGATAGTGCAAGTAACGGCGTTACACGTAAAAAAATCTTGTTGTAGCCTTGGCCTATCGTCCACGGAAGACAAGCCAGACACCCCCACTCGACAAACCTCTCACAAGGAACTGCAGAACAAGCAATTACTACGCAACCAAAAGCCGATGACAGTGACATGTTCAAACGTCCCGGAACCTACCACCTAATCGCCAAAAGGTAGACAAGCCGAGGAGCAAAACAGTTGGGCTGAAATAACCTGCGCACTCGGATTGAAAGTTCTCCCAACTAATCTTACACGCCTTTCACGAAATCCATCATCTCCACACTTAGGGGAACCTCGGTTACTGCGAGTTACGTTTGGCAACACGCACGACCTGGAAGATGTTCTATTAGCAAGCCACTTTCTAGTGAACTCTTCTGTCAGTATCCGCATTTTTCCTGACAGGCCATGGGCAGAAAGACAGAAGCGGAAATTCAACCCTAGTTCGTCACGTCAAAATGAGATGAAGAAAGTGCTACTGGTTCATGGTGTGCCAGAATTAAAGCATGACGATAGCAGTGAACGACAGAAGCACGATATCGAAGAATGGAGGTACATCTCAGAACTCCACGACATGCAGAATGTCGTGGCTTTTGACCTCACCTGTCTAATTGCTTCCATAAACTACCAAGGTGGTGGGCCAGGAATTTCGAAAGTCACCTTGGCTGCGCCCGAAATGGTATCAGTGGTAATCCAAGCATGGCATGACAACAGGAAAATTGGGCCACCAGAACTACGGTTAAGACCATTCCTTCAATTAGCACAGACCTCAGATACAGTTGAGCCAGCCTCAATTGTACACATCTCAAATCAGGCAACCGTGCAAACAACCGTTTCAAAAAACTTCAGCAGACCGGCACTATTTGGCCGGTCACTCACAGCGAACCGAGCTCCTGATGCATCAACAAACACAATGCCGCTACACCAACACTCAGGGGTTGTATTCTAAGCTCTCGGAACTGCGCCATCGACATGAAACAATTACTTGGGACCTCCTAGCAATTATTGAAACGTCTCTCAAACGACATACTTGATCCAGAGAGTGAACTCGATGAGATGGCACTCATTCGAAATGATCGTCCATCTCGCAGTGGCGGTGTTGCTCTCAAGAGTATTTGAAATGCGAGGCTCTTACCGAAAATTCCCTTGTTATTCCCGACGCATTCTTGCCGACTGCACCAAGCAGGTCGAGATGTTGGTTCACAGAAGACGAGTGATGCTTGCGTCTTAGCAGTTATCTATAGGCCTCCGAACTCATCAGTAGATCGCGAAAACATTCTGTTAAACGCCCTCCGCTATGATGTTTCACAAAAGTTCTCTCAATATCTTATAATGGGTGACTTCAATGTTCCTTCAATAGGATCAATGTCCCCTAATGGGCCATCATTTAAATCGAAACTCCTCGAATTCATGGGTATGGTAGTTTTGTATAACCATCTGCATCGACCAACCAGACACCGCGGTTAAAACAAGCCATCACTCCTGGACTTAATCCTGACTAATGAAGAGTCGATAGTCGAGTCAGGAGCGTACGATTCTCCAATGGGCCGTAGTGACCATTCAGTCCTAACATTTGGTTATGTATGTTATGCCAGTATTGTTGCTAAAGAAAGATAGACTCAACGAACTATTACGGACTATTATAAGCTGTGCAGCTTAGCAGCAACCGTTGACTGGGACCTACAGACGCACAGTTCAGCGTATGATGCGTGGAATGAACTGAAAGATAAAATTAACTGGATCATACAATCAGCATCGAAGGTTGTACCATTACGAGCATCGCGACGGACCAGTACGTGGATCCGGAGCAGAATATGTAAATGGATCAACAGAATAGATGAAATCTGGAGGCAACATTCTCGAAGTTCATGGGATATCACATAGCAGAAGTACAAAATCGAATTACAAAGTCATTAGAAACTACTGCACACGCTCATTAGAATCGATAAGTACGAATGGCAGGAGAATATGTTGCTGAAATTTACGAGTAACACCAGACTACTATATAGATTTGTGAATAGCAAAAGAAAGGTTAGGTCCGGAATACCACCACTCAAGACGGCCAGTGACCTAACAACTACTGATGTGGAGGCCGCAAACGCTCTACTCATGCAGTTTGGTTCGGTAGCTACAAATACCATGGAACCTTCGCCCTATCAACTCCCAACAAATGTCGTTGGCTTATCCAGCCTCACCTTTACTCCAGCAGCTGTTGCAAGCAAACTACAGTCTCTCCGGGAGTACAGTGCCCCTGGAATCGACAAGATCTGCCCAAAAGTACTAAAAACCCTTGCTCCCACCATAGCAGCACCCCTTGCAACCTTTTTCCAGGGTCTGTTTAACTCTCATACACTCCCATCTGAGTGGAAAAATGGAATTACCACTCCAATATATAAAGGAGGTAAGCGCTCGGATCCTGCTAACTACCGACCTATTACTCTCCTTCCTGTTATATCAAAACTTATGGAATCGGTAATCGCAGATGGACTGACGCGATACTTTGAAAGTCAACAGATAATTTCTAATGCCCAACATGGTTTCCGACGCAGACGATCTTGTCCCACCAATTTGCTGATTACTCGTGACTCATGGACCAGGGCGGCTGATGAAGGAGTCCCCATAGATGTTATTTACTTGGATATTTCTAAAACATTCGACAGGGTCAATCAATTCTTTCTCCTCCAAATGCTTGCTGCCTACAGTATCCCCGGTTTTTGCTCACCTGGATAGAAGACTATTTACAAGATAGAGCAATCAAGGTAAAAGTAGCCGACTCTGAAAGCCTGTACGTCTCCAGTGGTGTACCACAATGATCCGTATTCCGCCCGCTACTGTTTTTAGTCTACACAAATGAGCTTCTATCAGACATTCTAACCCCGCTGCAAATATTTGCGGACGATGCTCAAATATGTAGCGCAATTCGTTCAGCATCCGACATTGTCTACCTCCAGATAGATCTAACTTGGATTAATGAATGGGCAGAAAGGAACCAGCTCCCACTGAACCCTGCAAAGTACCACCTGCTGACAGTGCGTAGCAGCTCTGTCAACATACCTTTTTTGGCAATACGTCCTGCAACACGTGACTAGTGAACGTGACCTAGGTTTAATCGCGCAAGAGAATCTTAACAGTTCGCTCCAATGTTCGAAAGCAGCAAGTGTGGCGAACTTGAACTTGAGACTTTTGACGCGAGCTCTCAGCACCTTTGAGCGAAGGGTAGTACCATTGCTGATTAACTCCTACATTCGCCCTCACGTTGGTTATGCAATTCAGGCTTGGTGTCCATGGTTAAAACGAGGAATTCGGCTATTGGAATCACCTCAAAGAATAGCCACAAGGGCAACGCGTGGACTATCCGGTCTAAGTTACGAATTGCGTCTTCCTGTACTTGGTGTGTTCTCATTAGAATACCGACGGCTTCGCGGAGGTCTTACTCTCACATACCGGATAGTAACTGAAAGCGATCATCCATGTACATCACTGTTGACTCTAGCCCCTTACTAACAAAGCCGAGGCGGCCACCTGAAACTAATGCCGCAACGCTCCCGTCTAAATTGTAGAAAGTGTTTTTTC